ATGAGTAAAATGAATAGAGCTCTTGTTAATGCTAATTTTCTATGGTTAGAGCCCCCCTAGTGTTTCCTACAATGGTGTAGATATGGATCGGGGGGTTGACAATAAGAGTTATCGACTTAGTACACACTATTTTCTGCCAGCACATTCTGTTTGTGTAATTCATGTGTGCTGTAAATGATATATTTGATGCTATTACAATCCTGTTTGAAACTGAACCAAAGAAGTACATTTTCCTTACCATTTTGGCTAACCTCAGCTAAACCGCCCCCCCACGCCTCATGATGCTTCCCCCCACACTGTACTCTTTCTATTAGCTGTTCGATCTCATTTCCCAAATGTGAGATGCAACTACTTTGCTGCAGAAGCTTATCTTAGATGATAATGATGAACATATGATCAAACAGCATGCACAGGAGCTTCCGTCTACCTCTGCGATTCACGGGGTACTTTTCAAATGGAGACACTTTGGACCACGTCATTGCGTTTGCTATTTGGCCAACAGCAACAATTCAACAGGATTAGAACCAGCACCGATACAGCAAGGGGTCATTACAGCCACTGGTGGAATGTAAATGTTTCGGAAACACTTTACCTGAGGGGGCAGAAGTAACTTAGTAACTCAGTTACTACTCAAGTACAAATCATGAACAAAGACAGTAGCTGCATAAAAACAATGAACCGTTATGATTGATTAATGATGAACTAATACTGGATCAATATATAACTAACACTTAGTTATTTAATACATTAAGTAAGAGTGTGTTACTACATTATTCCTGCCTCAAGTAAACTGTTACCCATTTTTAAAAATCTGGATGATCGATACTGTAGATTGAACAATTAAAATGTTTCTTTGTGATTCATTCATGCTTCAATCCCTATTATCTGTTTCTCTGACGCTGTCCTGCTATCTGCGGTAGCAGAAGAACCCGGAGCTGAAGGCTGGACATTTATGAATACAAAGGGATGACATTTACAAACGAACACTGACAGAAGTCCAGTTAAAAACAAAAACCTAAATATCCTATGAAAGGGTTAAAGAGCCAGGAAGCAAGAATATCCATTAAAATGGGGGAGCTGGATAAGCTGATTGGGTTTATAAAGTGGGACTGGTCAGAGAGACACAAAGCCATGCGGAATACTAATCAGGGTGTGGGGGAGTGTGATTTCTGAAGAGCAGAGTCGTGTGCACACACGCACACACACACACACACGCACATACACACACACACACACACACACACGGAGCGGTGAGTTTACCCTACCCAACAAGGTGATTGGAGGTCCCAGACAATCAGAGAAATGGCGAGAGATATTTACCCAGAGACATGGACAGTGAGGTCAGCATACTACATTCTCTGTTAATCATTTTTTTTTAAATTCAGCTGTTTCATAAGACTTTTTCTTGCAAAACTGCTTGTTATATTACCTAAGTTGAATTAGTAATCTAAGGATAATAATGTCTACTAAGACAAATGTAGGTCATTAAGCGTCTCACACAGCAATTTAAACACCAATGTAGCATTAAACATGCATGATGAAGGAGTTTAAACGTATTAATAGTTATTATTTAGCTATGCCAACATTTTGTACACCTAGTGACTGAAAACACGCAAATGCAGTGGAGTGACAATGAAGCCTTGCTGCTTAGTGAGAAACAGTCCTTGGATGGGTAGCTACGAGGGCCTCAGCGAGAGGACATGTAGTTTAATTTAGAAAACACCACAGGTATGTTCATTTGCATTTGAAGAGCAGTAGTTATTATGCTTTACCAGCTTTTGTAACCTGGCAACTTATAAAATGTTAAGCCTTGGTGAGAAAAATAACACAGGGAAATTATAACACATTTCAAACACCTGGCCCATAATACGGTTATTGTACAAAATCATTGTATAAAATTACAGTGACGCAGTAACTTAAAGCAGTCACCATGATGCATTAATTATACCTTCATAATGCATAATAATGGCCAGTATAAGCCGTTATAATGCCTTATGAAGATGTGCATAGTGCATTATTGATGAGAGCTTCATAGAACATTCATAATGCATAATAAACATGAATATTATGTGTTATGCCTTTGTATGAATAGTTATAACTGTGTATATAATACTTTATGAATGCATTATACTGCATTATAAAGGTATCTATAATGCATCATGCATGGGTGCTTTAAGTTAAGTGTTACCAAAATGGCTATTTAAATTTGGTTAACATTTTTTTTTTGCATTAGCCTTCTTCGGATTGGGATGATATAATTTATGGTGAATACTGCTGGATTATGTTTCTTTGGAGGCTGTAACTGGTATATAATATCTTCTGATGTCTCCGCTTTAGATAGCACTTCATGGGCAATATCATTTACATATTCAATTATTTTCAAAGGGAAAATTAAACCTCAGTAGTAACCTGCAAACTACACAGCCCTCACTCAAAATGATCATGCTGAATATCTATTTGCAAAATTGACTCAAATCACAGAAAGTGTTTGTAAGCACAAGATTATGTATAATCTATAATGTAAAGCACTTTGAGACAATGTAGTGTTGTGAATATGTGCTATACAAACAAAATTGAATTGAAGTGATTTATGCAGATACAATATAATACTCCATTCTATATCAAGTCTTCTACAGTTTTAAGGATGGAAAACGACACACGTAGCTCTTACTCAAAATTAATAATATATTTGCTTGAGAAGGGTCTTAACATATAGTGGGTCTGAGGGCCATTTCTGCAGCGAAGGAGACACCCCCTGCTATATCATTCAAGTCACAGTAATAAATGTCAAGAGTAATTTGGAAAAATACCCCAGAGTGATTTACTGCCACGCAGTGTAGTCTGCCGTTCATCGGACTGACTTGTGGAGCCCATTATATCTCCCACCAAGAGAGACAGAAGGTCTGTAGACTTCCCTGCCCACCTCTAAAGTCATCCGATTCCCAAACATCAACCAACATGCAGTCCCCGCCCATCTCTACGGTCAGCCAATCTCCTCACATCGACCAAAATGCAGTCCCCGCCCATCTCTACGGTCAGCCAATCTCCTCACATCAACCAACATGCAGTCCCCGCCCATCTCTACGGTCAGCCAATCTCCTCACATCAACCAACATGCAGT